GGATGGTTTTATTCAAATTAAACAATGGGGGAAAATATTATAAGAAGATGGTTTTTTTTACCTGGAAAGGGGTGCGGGGCACGCAATTTTAAGTCGAACATGACTAATACCAAAGATTTTATCTCCTTTATAACTTATAACTTATAACTTAGTCTTGAATTACTTTCCGATATACCTATTCTAAGCGCTCTTTCAGCAGATTGTCCCGCCATTAATCATTCCACAGTTCCTCGTTTCATTTTTATTGTCATGTTATTTTCTGTCATCCCTGTGGCCGTGAAGAGAACAATTCTGCCTACCACAAAGTTCTATCCGTTTCGCAAGCACATTTTTCTATAGCCTACATGTAATGCTTATTGCTTCCAGTTTGAACTTCAACTATTTCCCCTTGGAAATTGTATATGTTACTGTAGTAAGCTATTAATGTACTTTTGAAGTATTTTTAGGGGGTTAACCCCCCCCCCCCCCCTTGGGCTGCCAAGTTAAAATGTTATGTGCATAGAAAAGCGTCATCAGACCCACACAGTATCCGCATCCTCATTGGGTCAAACCCCCCTTAAACTGTTACTTGATTTAAAAAGGTGTTATCATACACTGCTTTGTATGGTCTCCATTATGTTAGTATAGATGCCAGGAAAACATCACTTTAAATACGGGGATTCAAAATTGCCGAAAAAACAATCGCCTCGCCGCTTAGCGGTAGGTGCATCGTCATTGGGTCAAACCTCCTTGAACTGTTACTTGATTTAAAAAATACGTTATCATACACTGATGCGGCTCTTTATGTAGGTTACCCCTTTTAATTTACTCAGGGAAAATCCACCTCCCCTGCCTTGCATAGATGGCATTGGAAGGTGTAGCGACCCTCCATTATAGCTATACCTGGAATTTATTCTTATTAGCAAGCTAAGAAACACTGAAATGATGAGACAAACAAACAAAAACGGATACTTGCCCGATTTTAGACCGGGTGAACAAGAACCGCGTCCCCCAGTGACAAACCAGGCTGAGGTCGGAAAATTGAATACTGGTTTCAAATCCAAATCAAGACTTAAAATCATAGATTGCAAAGCAACAACTCTAATATCGAGTTTTAATGTCCGGTCTCTCAAATCAAAGGAGAAGATGGGAGAACTAACATCACTAGCTGAAAAAAAGAGAATAGATATTCTGTGTATACAGGAACATCATATCTATCATGAAAATGTGGATATTCAGATGAAGGACATGGGCAAAGGGTGGGTACTAGCTGTGTCTTCAGGCACCAAGAATACAGTGAACAGCACAGTTGGAGGGGTCGGTATATTAATGAGTCCCTTTGCTTATAAGTCACTGGAATACCTTGAAAAAGTGAGTTCAGTGGAAATCCAGCTCCCACCTTTATCACCTGCTACAGTCCAACCAACTGCTCCCCAGACAATGAAGCTGTAAATTTCTATAGCTTACTGTCTGATGTAATTATAAAGATCCCTCAACACAACATGAAGATTGTTTGTGGTGACATGAATGCCCAGGTTAGCTCTGCAGACAGCAAGGGTTTTACTTTTGGCAATAGGATTAACAGAAATGGGCAGTACTTGCTGAACATGACATTCGAATGTGACCTGATTGCGTATAACACACGCTTTCAAACAGCCAAAGAAAAGTTGTGGACATTTACATACCCACATAAGAGCTAGGCACAACTAGACTTTATCCTAATGAACAAAAAGTGGAGAAATAGTGTGAAAGACTGTCAAGCTTGCAACTCTTTTGGCCCCTTGAACTCTGACCATCGAATTGTCTCCACCAAAATGCAACTAAGCTTGAGAAGCAATAAAAAGGTAAAAGCCAAATCAAATCTTCAACATGACTGGCAGTTCTTTGAATCCCAAGAGAGACTAAACGTGTCCAGTGGAAAGTTCACTTTTCTAATCTTCTTGGTCAACCTCCACCGGATAACAACAACCCAATAAGGAAGATGGTCCAAAAGACACTTCCAATTAAAACAAGCAAATTTACCATTGCAGAACTCAAAAGTGGCAGTACCCTCCCTCTCCAATAATAAATGCCCAGGTGTGGATGGAATCCCAGCAGAGGTACGGAAGTCTGGTGCCCTTGACCAGCAGCTTTTGGAAGTAAACAGAACACTTATCCATGGCGAGAAACCAGATTTGTGGTCTAGGAGCATAATAATCTCTGTACCCAAAAAAGGAGATTTCAGTACCCCTCAAAATTACCGTAGGATAGCACTGACCCAAGTAGCTGCAAAAGTATTCAACAAACTGCCTTTGAATAAAATCTGTCCTCACCTGGAACCCCTTCTCCGCAAGAACCAGAAGGATTCCGTCCAGGAAGATCTACAGTAGCGCTAATTCTAACTTTGCGAAGACTGGTGGAAGGTATTAAAGCAAAGCATCTAAATCCAGTGCTTTCGTTCTTGTATTTTAAGAAGGCCTTTGATTCAATCAATAAAAAGAAGATGTTAGAGATCTTACGAGCCTACGGATTACCGCAAACAATGGTTACAGCAATAGGGAGATGTACAAAGATACTACAGCTCAAGTACGTTCACCAGATGGAGAGACTGACTCCTTTACCATCGTAGCAGGAGTGCTTCAAGGAGATACCTTAGCACCATACCTATTTATCATACCATTGGATTATGCTCTAAGAATGGCTACTGAAGGGTTTGAGGATCTAGGCTTCACCCTACAGGAAAGGAAAAGTAGCAGATATCCTGCTGTAATGATCACAGATACCGACTTTGCTGATGATATTGCACTATCTTCAGACAATCTGGAAAAGGCACAGGAGCTCCTAGAACAAGTAGAGTCTGCAGCAAGCCAAGTCGGTCTACAAATAAACAGTACCAAGACAGAATTCATGTTGTACAACATTCGTGAAGGTGAGATTTGTACTGCTGACAGGACAAAGTTGAAGCAGGTCCAAAACGTTCAGTACCTTGGCTCGTGGGTTGATCAGTCAAAACAAGATCTGAATATCCGAAAGGCAAAAGCCTGGACTGCTTTGACCAAGCTGACAGCCATCTGGAAATCAAACCTTGGTAGAAAACTGAAGTCTGTTTCTTTAGAGCTACAGTGGAAACTGTACTGCTCTATGGATCAGAAGCCTGGATTTTGACAAGTAGCCAGGAAAAAACAACTAGATGGTTGCTATACAATACTCTTGAGAGCAGCACTAAATGTTAACTGGAGGAACCATACGACCAACATAGAATTGTATAGGGACATTAAACAGATCTCAGCCAGACTGAGAGACCACCGCCTCTGTTTCAGTGGGCACTGCTGGAGGAGCAAGAGTGAAATTATTTCACAAATGCTCTTCTGGGAGCCCACAAGGGGCAAACGCACCAGAAGGCGCCCAGCAATGACTTACATTGACCAGATAGAAAAGGACCTGTCAACCAAGGCAGGAGCTCCCAAAGATCATGGAGAATAGAAATGAATGGATAAAGCTTGTCAAATCAGTGCGAGTACGCTCGACCTAGTAGTAGTATCATGCACTGCTTTTTATGGTATCCATTATGTTAGTATATAGATGCCTGGAAAACATCACTTACGGGGGTTCAAAATAGCTTTACAAATTGCCTCGCCGCTATGCAGCTTGTGGTCGATGCTCCGCATCGTCATTAGGTCGACCCCGATCTTAAACTGTTACTTTATTTAAAAATACGCTATTATGCACTGCTTTTTATGTTCTCCATTATGTTAGTATATAGATGCTAGGAAAACATCACTTACGGGGGTTCAAAAAAGCACCATAAAAATCGCATTGCGGCTCGTGGAGGGATCGTCACTGGGTCAAACCCCACCCCCCCCCCCCTTAGCAAAAAACTAGATCTGCCCCTTGACCCCTACTCTTGGAGGGGGTAGGAGAAAGCAATTTTGCGTGATATTACTCCAGAAAGTGCCTGAAAATGCGCCTTATTTGGTTCTAAACTTGCTTATGCTTCCTACTCTGGGAGGGGGTGGTGGCCCCACTCCCAGAACCACCCCCGCTGGGTCGCTCTGCTCCCTCGCCGCTGACGCCTCGCTCCATCGTTTTTCATATATTTCACCCCATGCGATTTTGTGCCCCCCCCCCCCCCCCCCCGGTGAGAAATTCCTGGATCCGCCTTTAGTTCAAGTGAGCCATTTGGCACCGTCCAAGGTCACCCTGTGATCTCCCGAGTGGTCGTGTATAACACATCACCCTATGAACATGATGAACTATTCCCAACCCTTACCCATTTCAAACAACTCTTTAACCTTCGCATTCGATGCCATTGAAGAAGTCAGTGAAGAAGAAAAATACTGTGATCTTTTGCTATTATTGGTACTGCCACTAAGACTTTGTTAACCTTGCAAACGGAGGACCACCTAACACAAATGAGCATTACAAAAGAACTTATGAATGAATTATAAACATATGAATCTTAAACCCAATATTAATACAATTCAATAATAAATGTCAACCATATAAGCTTTGTCTTTAATGTGGGTATCTATTGCTTCTTGATTATCCTGACAACGACTAAATTGTCTGTCTGACGTCAGCCAGTGTCCCTGGATAGACCTGGACCATTGGTTCCGTCCTGTCCCTCAGTTCCAGTTACAGTAAAGCTATATAGATTCTAAACACCAACTTCCTGTTGGTGTTTACATATTTATACTGATTTCAATTTGTCCAACGTGGAATCGCAAGTACTATCAGGTTATCCTCTATCAGGTCAGAGAAAATGATATATATGTGTGAATGATTGATTGCAGCATTTTGAATTTGACCGTTTTGTGAATAACTTGGTCACATTTTACAAGCCATGTTAGTAATCCATTAATTTCTTCATATGGCTATGTGTTATACTCGACTGATTGTGCGTTCGTGGAGTGAGCTTGGAAAGTGTGAAAGACCCTCACAGAGATGTAGAAGCGTGACTGCTCAGTGTGATTTGCTCACGCTGACAGCAGGAGTATCATCATCATCATCATTATCATCGTGTTTTATTTTCTTACAAACAGGTGGCTGCTGAAGAACGATCCAATGCCAAAAAGGGTGCTGACTTTAAGAAGAAAAATGTCCTCCAGGCTCTATCTGATTTCCTGGCCAAACTCAAGAACAAATAGATGATATAAGGCAGCGGACACACTGAACTTGGGGCGGACTGGGAGCAAAGATGTATAGAGGCTTTTTTCATGCACGTTCGCTCGGCAGTATATTCATTCACGGTTGGGTGATGTCACTTCATATTAATAGGTGTGATGCGTGATCGTTACAGTGGAGTCGAAAAGGACCCTATTTTTGTCATACTTTAAAGAACATTTTCCCCACAAATAAAGAAAACATGATCCCTTTTGCACAAGAGCTGGTACAAAGATTAGGCTTTATATAAAATCTATATGTTTAGCTTTAATATCGAGTACACAAACACAAAAAGTAGCCCCCTTTAGCCTGTTTTCGAGAAGAACAAATAAATATACGCGTTCACATGTTTGTGTTAATAAATATCACCCCAAATCACATCAAATTTCATGTTCTTAAAACAAGACATCCCTCTTTTCAAATTCGCAAACATTCTCGCCAACTACCCATTTTATGCAAAATTTCTAACTACCATGTGCCACACACGATGTTAATAAGAAGTGATACCAACGGGTAGAGACTTAACACATGTTGACAAAAGTTGGATTCCAGGGCTGTCCCTTGATCTATACCCCCAAAATGACGGATTGCCTAAATTTTACTAACCCTAGGTTTCTAACCACTGTGCTAACTATTTTACCTTAAAGGGATTGTTGAGTTCTGTCGCAGAGGGTGCTACACAACATATTTTGTTTGTGAGATAATGAAAAAGTGAGTGTCCAATTTGAAAGAACGTACAATTTTAAGGACGTAGTCACCTTTGTGTGATCAAAATCGGTTCAGAGACGGCTGAAATATCCATAAATATAACGATTTCTAATACTTGTTTACCACCACAAATATTAGATAATTTGAAAAAGCCGTTGAAAAAACGAAATAGTGCCTTTTACGTCGTATTTCAGCCAATGCGGATATTTGCTTTTTGTTGGCATTTTCGTGTTGGTGATATTACGCACAACCAGCCGGCCCATGTATTGTTATTTTTAATTAAATAATTAATTAACGGTCACCGTATTTTTTTAAAAGTGAAGCTGAATTGGTATGATCGTGTGGCTAAATTTCACACATTTTGGGGTCTAAAATCACCTTCATAGCAATTTTAGGTTCTTAAAGGGCACTGATAAATTTAATAGATAAGAATAAGAGTAATAACCCAGCACTCTGAAAGCATTTGTGATCTGAAAAAAGAACTCAACTATCCCTTTAATTCCTTTGAAGATAATCGATCTTAATAGGCTCATTAAAAACGTGCAGCAATATTTGTTATTTTTGCTATGGTTTACCAGGTCTATCTGAACGAGAGAGTGAGCAAGAACAGATTAACGATTCAGGATTCTCAATCCATCTGGGGGGGGGGGGGGCACATGTCTCAAAAAGTACAAGCTTCCCCAGAAGCTCTTCCGTATATCCCTAGTTCTTTCTCTCTCCCTCTTTCTTTCTCCATTTCTTTCTGTGTTTTTTAATTTTCATCTAAAATACAATTTGATAAACACTGTTTAATAAAGGCGATATCTTTGCTATAAAGATTATATCATTGCTATGAAGATTATATCATTCTTTACTTTGTATTTGTATAGGGTCATTTCTAACGGACATGCTTATGTAACTGAGCAAACTTTCCTACCCTGTATTTACGTGCTCTTACATTAAAACATGATCTATTCATTGACTAAAAAACAATTATTTGGTTGACTTTTCTCTGTTGTCCTCACATAAGTAATGACTGATGCACACAAAGGCATTGGATCGATACAAATGTCTTTTTTATATTCTGATTATATGTTATTGTTATTAGTTTATTATCATTACTTTATTTATAATTAGATGATAGCAAAGACTTATACAATAGACTTGTGCGTCATCTATTTATGCGTTCAACACAGCTGATTGTATGGACAACTATCACGTGTATATTTCTCCCTGCTTCAACGGTGAATAGGGGTGCCAAAAAAATGAAAACTTCCTTGTCTCACACAACTAGCCCTAGAATTAAAATTTCCTTCCCAAAATGTTTGATCTTGGCTTCATCTTAATAGGGTATTTAATAGGGTGTTTTATTTACTCAGGAAAACAAATATATATTATATACTTTTGTTCTTTTTCCATTTTTTTTTAATTAGAGATGTCATTCAAAATAAATCATTACATAAAGAATCAATGTGAATAATTCCATACAAATAAATTTCTAAATTCTCAAAACATTGAGCTAGAAGGGGAATAATACACACACATACACTTTTTTTTTAAAACAATTTTGTTTCATTTCTCCAAATGTGCAATACAAACCATAACATACAATTGAATAAAATAAACGTATTCAACATTGATGCTTTTACATAAACATAATTAAACACAAACTTATTTGCAGTATATATAACTTAGCAACAAAGAAAACGTATAAGTACCTAAACATAATATGTCAATTGTGAATGTTTTTCACTTTAAAAAAATAAAATCTGGAGGTAATTTTACTGGAACAATCCTGCCACCCCTCCATCACACAAATATACTCAACTACCCACACACATACTCACCCAACCACCCCCCCCCCCACACACACACACACATACACTACTCACTCAGTGGATGTCTGCTAACATTCTCAACTCAAGAAAAATATACTAATTAAGTTATCCAGGCCACAAAATATAGTTACCCTTTTAACAGGCTCACGGTAGAGAAGAAGAAAACAATTTCTTTTCCTCATCCCTATACTAAATTTTTTTGTCTTCATCTTTTCTAAAGTTGATACTCGCCCCCCCCCCCCCGATCTTGACATAAATGTAACATACTTTACCATGAAAATGATAGTATTACATATTTTTATTCTATATGAACTACCTACCAACCCAACAAATATATCTCGCCATTCTAAATCTTTAATTTCATCTAACTCAAAAAGTTGTATTAAAGCCTGCTATATCCTTTGAACGCTCCCGCAAGATAAAAATAAATGTTTGTATGTTTCTATTTCCTGCTTACAAAACGAACATAAATTATCACGTACAAAACGAAATCTATGGAGATTCTCATTAGTGTATATGGCTCCATTCCATAATTTAAATTGAAATTCTCCTTGTTTTCTAATGAGTATAGAAATTTTGGGTCTAACAAATATTTCTTTTAATTCTTTATCTATACAATCATAAGCATTTTGCCCATCCCTTACCTGCTAATCATACGTTTGTTGCAGTGCTTTGATAAAATAATCATAAATTGTTCTTGAACCCACATCCACAAACTGTATTTTTTTAATAGAAATATGGAAATAAGTATTAAAGCTTATCGAATCGACCTCGAGGAATTGTATTAACCCTGAATCATCCTTCCATAACCTGGGTATCGCATCATAAATATCAATAATCATAAGCAAATTATTACCTTTCATACCGAGGTTCATAAAATATTTAACAGACTTAACATGGCCTTTCTCAACCAAGTGATTCAGTTGAACAATCCCTCTTTCAAACAAGTATCTATCAAATATACTTTTTCCATTTATACATAAATTCCGATTATTAAAAATAATTGGATTAATATAACCCTCCAAATATCTTAAATTACTTGTCTCTTGCCATGCTTGCAACATTTCCATATAGTATGGTGGAATATCTAAAACGAGTTTAATCTTTTTTAATTCACACACAAACACACACACACGCGCGCGCACATGTATAATGGATGATGATATTGAAACGGAACATAAATATGGCAATTTGGAGGAAGTTAATATCATCAACCTTTAAGCATTTCAGTTTAACAATTAGTGGGGTAGCATGGTCACGATAACCAGCTCGGGGAACATATGCGTACAGCTTTCTTTTGCAGCAGAAGAATATTAATTGTCACACACTTGGATGTTGCCCACAAATATAATAATAGGAGATATTTTGTAAAATTAGACTATTATATAGGATAAGTAATATTTTATCAGAAACAAAATATTTAATTATATACAGTACGCTAATATTTTTGGAGATTGGTGTAACATTGTATTTTACTGTCGCTTCAGTCAGGGTCTTTATTGTTGCAGACACCAAAGAACTTTGCACATGTCTTTCTCTCTATACAAATATCATCCAGTTTAATATTAAAGGGATAGTTGAGTTCTGTTTTCAGACCGCAAATGCCTCCAAAGTGCATGGTTATTGCTCTTATTCTTATCTATGACAATTATAGTGCCCTTTTAGAACCTACAATTGCTATGAAGGTCATTTTAGACCACAAAATGTGTGAAATTTAGCCAATACGATCATACCAATTGAGCTTCAATTTAAAAAAAAACACGGTGACCATTAATTAATTATTTAATTAAAAATAACAATACATGAGCCGGCTGATTGTGGGTAATATAAGCAACACGAAAATGCCAACAAAAAGCCAACATCGGCAATGGCTGAAATACGACGTAAAAGGCGTTATTTCGTTTTTTTCAACGGTTTTCAACGTTTTTTTTCAAATTTGTCAAATTATCTATTAATATTTGTGGTAGTACACAAGTATTAGAAATCGTTATATTTCAGCCGTCTCAGAACCGATTTTGATAAAACAAAGATGGTTTTGTCATTGCAATGACGACCTTCGTCATTGCCTTGTTTTCGTTCACATTCTGCCCCATTAATTGCAATAACGACCTTCGTCATTGCCTTGTTTTCGTTAACATTCTTCTTATTAATATTCTTGGTTCTGTGCAATGACGAATATCGTCATTGCCTTGTTTTCGTTCACATTCTGCACCATTAATTGCAATGACGAAATCATCTTTCTAATGATACCAAATACGGCCCATAAAGAGGCAAAGAGAGAGAGAAAAAACAATTTAACTCCGGTCATAATACAGATCCTGTACGTTTTCCGCTCATGCATTACACGCATTGTCTATGAGGGCATATCGGGTTCACGCTTTTGACCCCCAGAACGATCTTTATTGCAATGACGAACATGCACCAAATCCCCTTGGTTTTTGCACGCAGTGCTTGCGAGCCCTTTCTACGTCCTTTCCCATATCCCAATTTCTTTCAAACTTCGTAGGCATAGTCACTACCATCCCATCAAGGTCACTGTTGAAGCCTTTCTTTCGCCCTACCTATCTCCAATATCACAGAAGCTACAGACTTCGTACAAATTGCTCTGGATAGAAGCTCTTTCGTTTGGCACGTAGAAACACGGCGTCATTGCACGCACATCGTTGTGACACGATTGCATTTCTAGTTTAAATATTATGTTCATTCAAATTTGACACTCACTTTTTCATTATCTCACAAAAAAAATATTTTGTGTAGCGCCCTCTGCAACAGAACTCAACTATCCCTTTAAGAGCAAGGC